GAAAGGAGCTGACGAGGTTTGTTCTATGTTGTATCACTTCTTTTATAATATCCTGTTCATGGAAATGAAAGAAATGTCAATTTTTTGTGATTCCTAAGCAGGAAAAAATAAGAAATTCACTGTAATTAGGTTTCTGCATTACTTGGTCACTAAAAAGAACCGTTTAGATACTATAAAATAACTATTCCCGTTCAGGGGGCATTCATACCTTGAATGTGATTGCACCATGAGCCTCGTAAATCAAAAAGCATATACTGAGGTACCAGCTAACTGGAGAGAAGAATTAAGAAATTTCTAGGTGAAACGTACACCATTCGAAGTGATTGACTGTGGCAAAATTTTTGTGTTTCAAAATTGGGGTTCACTTTTATCGCCGCTTTATCCACAGAAGTGCCCTTTCCCGACTCAGCCTCTCAGGATGCTGAAGTTTTGTGAGGAGAATCTCCGCTTGGTGTTCCTCAAAACCACATATTGTGGTCTTTATGCTAGTTCTAAATTTGACCGAAAACCACTTACGAAGAACCACAGAAAGGAAAAGAATCAGAGAAATGAAGAGAAAGTGTTAACAAAACTTTATCAGTGCCCACTACCCGTCAAAAAACTCAAATGTGAGGATTTGCCAGATCTGACTGCATTCCTTCAGAGAGCCAGAGTGTTTTATCAACAATTAACATTTGCCGAACAACCTGAAGAGAGCGATGACGAATTTGTGGATGACCCACCAATAGACACCTGATACAGGGGAAAAGTGGCATATGGCCATGCCTAGTTCTGAATAAATGATGATTTTGTTTATATTTTTGAATGAAAAACATGTTATTTACTAAAAAATGTTGTTTGTGACTTTCTTGGAATCCATCAGAATGAACTATTGTCGTTCTTCCCCTGTACCCTTCAAATGTAAACGAACATTATTTTTCCCAAGAGTATAAGAGGTATATGATTATATTTCGGAGTTGACACTAATCTACTCAAAATTCAACACTTTTATAATTGATACTTGATGAAAATCCATATTAAAACTAATTAATACAGTTCATTGTGTGATTTTCACTACAAAGGGTTTTTCAAAAACCATGACCCGTATTTCGCTATACAATAACTTCCTCAAGCGTAAATCAACCGGTTAACGCTTGAATACGCTATTGTCGCACGTGTCCCGGTTTTTTTAAAACCCTTCATAGTTAAAATTGTACAATAAACTGTATTAGTTAGTTTCACAACTTTTGTCAACAATCACTGGTCTATCACTTCCGACACAAGCGCGTTGTCACACTATTTGAATTGTCTGATGTTGTGGTAAACAAGATAGGCGCATTACCAAATCATCTGATGATCCTTATCGGTGATTCATCAATTAGTACGATGATTCATTCGCTATAAATAGAATTTTCTAGAATTCGTTAAAATGGAGAAGCGCGCTGTATATAGTCTGTTCAATTTGAGGTGACGGAGATCCTCAAGGAATGTCAATGCGGTCAATTCTGGTATTCCAGACATGGAATGAGTTTCCTTACTCGAAACTATGTAGATTTTGTCAATTAACTCGGGATTAGGACTACAAATTATACGACTAGAGCTATTAGCACCCATAACGATTAAGTTGGAGTATAACCCTTTGGACAGTAGGGTCTGCTCCGTTATTAAACGGCGATGATGAGCCATTTAATCTACCTATTCGTTCTGAGTAGGCAATTTTCCAGAAAGATAGATACCAATGTTTTCAATAAATTGATGCATGTAGCCGTTAATACGTGGTAGGAAATCATAATAAAGGAAAGAGAAATTAAACTTTCTATGTTTTACCACTTTCATTTGTAACTAACGTTACTGCAGTTTCGTCCTATACGGTCACTTTCAAACTTATACAATAAACTGCAGTAACATTAGGTTAGGATAGGTCCAAAGTGAGTAGGTCTATTCGACGCTCCACCGCAACCCGCAAGTGTTTATTGTGGCTAACGCCCATTCACACTCGGTCAAATAAACCCAGTTTCTTAAAGAAGCCGATTAGTTTGTATGGTGAGTTGATCTTTCAGGTCAGATGGTGAGAGTACGGCTTTGCCAAAATCTAAAGACCTGATTCAGTCCCCAGCGGGGCAGGCACAAAGTATATGCTCACGACAACCTATCCATATGAAGGTTTTGCACGTCAGCTACACCTAACAATGCCTTAGATTCAGCTGTGCAGTGCTTTTTCGCCTCTGGTTTTGGCGAATCATCACTTGAGCGCAAACGTTTGCTAACCTGCTCATAGGGGGTTTGTTCCCCCACCTGAGACAGATTATGCGTACGCCGGAGCCCTCGCTCCTGAACTAAATTTACAGGGAGGTCAGTTAAAGTCGTAAACTCGACATCCATCTCCTCTATAGATTCGGTCCTGAATTAAATTTACAGGAAGGTCAGTTGAAGTCGTAAATTTGACATACATCACCTCTACAGACTTGCACCTTATCTAAGTTTACAGGGAGAACAGTTGGGGTCGTAAGCTCGACATCCATCTCCTCTATAGACTCAGCGTCAGAAAGAATTTTCGAATTTACTCTGTCCATAAAAGTTCCATGAGAGGCTAGGGAAAGAAGGTCAACCACGGCAGAGCCCTGCATTACCGTGACAAGGCGATCGAGAGAGTATCTCGAAGGTTCCGTAGAGACAGCTGATAGACTCAGTGTCATTCATCATCTCGGTACGGATCTACACACCTTAGAATTAAACCATCGTTGGGATGCCATTCAGTTAGGGAATAACAGAATCACAAGTGATTCTGTCATTTTCGTATTCAGCGAGGCTACGTGGAAGCAGGCATCCGATGGCCGGGTTGATCAACCCCCGCATCCCAAACCAATGCACTCGCCGAAAACAGTGGTTCAGGCAGTGAAAGATGAACAAGGACAGCCAACCTGCCTGCTGTAACGTTAGTTACAAATGAAAGTGGTAAAAAACATAGAAAGTTTCATTTCTCTTTTCTTTACCAATGTTTTCAGTATTTGTTGAAAACTTGATCAATACACACATGGTTTCTTTTTCTGTTGTCTGGAAGAAGTGAAATGATATCAATAAATTGATGGATGTAGCCGTTACCACGTGGTAGGAAATCATAATGAATAAAAAAGAAATGAAACTTTCTATATTTTTACCACTTTTATTGTAGTTTATTGTATAAGTTTAAATATCCATATAGGACGAAACTGCAGTAACGTTAGTTACAAATAAAAGTGACAAAAACATAGAAAGTTTCATTTCTCTTTTATTCGAAATGATATCACTTTCAAAGCAACACTTCTGGCTCGGAGTTTTCAGATAGTGTGTACTACCCCTTATTTCCAGTATTTCCAATTAGCACATATAAATTAGAGATTCTCATTGATGCAATCATATTCTGGCCTATGGATTATTTCCCCCCAATTGAATCGGTTTAAAATCTGTTTAAAATCTGTTTTTCCGTTAACCAGCTGTCGCACCCCTACGAACGACAACCCTCAGAAGTCGAAACTTGTGCGAGCTAAGGATTAACGAGGTCTTACCTTTTAACGTGTGATTCCTAACACGGGTTGGACGATAGCAAGTGAAGATCGATCGTTCAGACTAGGGCTTGAACCACCGACCAACACGGCAGTCAATTCGAGTGAGTGAACAAATCACCCACGCCGAACCGCTTGGCTACCGACCGGGTATGATGGGAATATATGAGTACCTGATTTTTACCTAAGTTTGTAATGAATTGATATACCGGAGCTTATATCCCAGTTTCCACATTTGAAAAAATATTTAGTAACGGTTAGTTATTCAATTCTAATTGATCATTCAGTAAATTACCCGAATTCCTGAATCTATTGATTTCCAAACATTCTAGAAGATTGAGTTTCAAGCTCTTCCCCCTTTGAATGTAACACATCTTATTCATGTTTGAACTCATGTTCTACTGAAAGGTGGTTTGGAAATGTGGAGTTGGCCTTTCTATTTGCAAAACTACTTCTATACTCTTTAATTCTTCAGGGAAATGGGTGTGAATTAGTTGTTTGTAATTATTTCCTGGATTCAATGAAAAAATATCAACAATCGATCAAATTTCTTAAAAAAAGTCTTGTGGATCTGCAATACAGCTTTTCTTCTGAATGTTTCAAAACTGTGATTGTTGTGTTCTCGACCTGGAAAGAAAAATTTCAAAGCAAAATCAGAAACAATCTTTAAACCANATCTTTAAACCACATCAGAGGACTATGATATCAGTTGTACTTTTTCAATTCACTATCTATGCGTGTGCTAGAAAAACAAAAAGTGGAATTCAATAATTATCTTTCTTCTGAAAGTGCTGTAGAATTGGTGAGCCGTAGGGTTGTATCTTGGTTTGTATTCGAACAGTCGATTTATCAATTGTGATTCAATAAACCTCGTCACAGATGATACTTTTGCTGCTTGTTATAATAATTTTTCGTGAAAAATGTTGGAAAAATGTTGAATAATTCACTCCGAAATCTGATATGCCTACAGTACAATAACCACCTACTGGTGTAACACTCAAGTCAATTTGCCAAGTTCTTATGTAGTGTTGGTGGTTTGACCAATCAACCGACAATTGCGGTAGCAGAAATTTGGGAAGCTGTCCTGAAATGCCATCGGAAAACGAATCCACATGTTTCTAGAAGTGATATGAGATCCAGAAAATGCTTGCTGGTACAGAATTGACCCAAAACCTTTTTTCATTAAATTACCTCATAAGAAGCCCCAATGTTTTTTTGTTGACAAACCATGTTGAGACTATTGAGGAACTTTTACGATCAATGCCATTTTTTTTCGTATCCTTTGAAATTCAAGAAAAATAAAGGTTCTACGATGAAGTAAAATGATAATATACAAATTTCCGAAAAAGTATGCAAACAATACTTGTTATAGCCTTCAGTAGTTGTTATCGACTCCATACATGATTATCCATAAGGACAAGAAAATTCAAATAATGACCAAACTCTTCGATTTTTGTAATTGCTATTTCCATGTTTCAGGGGTATGCGAGAAATCTTGCTCTGCTCCTACCCCAGAAGAAGGCAGCAAGAGCGAAGAAACCACATGAATCTCCACTTCCAGAGGCACGCCTCTACCAGGTCAACAATGAAGGGCAACGCCACCACGGTCACGATTCTGCACAACGAACACAGCTCAGAGTGTTCCCATGAAGTATGAGGATGCGCCTCCTGCCTCTATTGTTCTAGATATAGCTGAAGAGGCAGAGAGAAAAATATCAACGAATCACCACTTGTATGAGGGTTCCCGACTCAAGGCTTTGGAAGCGGAGTTCACACTGTGAATAATGATATTGACTCGGTCTAAGCGCGTCATTGATTCTTTTAGCAAAATGATTCGCATCTAACAGAAATATATTTTGAATTCAATCATGAATTGTAGCACAGCCTTGTCTTTGACAATTATTCGGACTCCATGCAAACTTAATTGGAATGTAAGATGGGTATTACTGGAGTTTTTCCCAACACCAAATCGTTATTTTTACACCTCGACACGTGTTTCGATCACCAAGTGATCATCTTCAAGAGGAAATTGTCCAGGAACCCGTTACCAAAGATGATTGCAGAAGTGAAAGACGTCCTAAAGAAATGCGACAACATACTTACCCATCAACTGAAACGAAATATACAAGTTTCCAACCCAACGGTGTCGAAATTATATTGCCTCCCAAAAATCCATAAACCGGGAAAATCAATGCGCCCCATCATGTCAGCTATTGGAGTTCCTACCTACCAAATAGCGAAGTGGTCCACTAAGGAATTTGAAACCTTGTCTATTGCGGAACCAGGTTTTAGTATAAAAAACTCTTTAGAGTTCATACAACATACAAAAAACATGGTTCTGCAAGAAGGTGAGATTTTGGTTTCTTTTGATGTCAGTTCCTTATTTCCTAGCGTCCCAATTCCACAGACCTTGCAATACCTCAGGGAATTACTAGA